CACACACACACACACACACACACACACACACACACACACACCTTGGTTAAAAATACAGTTTCCTGCTGGGTGCCCAGAGTTCAAGTCCCACGACCGGACCAAAAAAAAAAGTTACACACACACACACACACACACACACACACACACACACACACACACACACACACCTTGGTTAAAAATACAGTTTCCTGCTGGGTGCCCATGGCTCAGGTTTATAATCTGAGCTACTTAGACTGAGTTCTAAGGATCATGATTCAAAGCCAGCCTAAGTAGGAAAAATTGTGAGACTTTTATCTCCAATTAACCATCAAAAAAAGGCCAAAACTGGGGCTGGGAAGGTGGCTCAGTGGTAGAGTGCTTGCTTTGCATGCAAGAGGTCTGGGGTTCGATTCCTCAGCACCACATAAAGCAGAAAAAGCCGGAAGTGGCGGTGTAGCTCAAGTGGTAGAGTGCTAGCTTTGAGCTGAAGAGCTGAAGGACAGTGCCCAGGCCCAGAGTTCAGGCCCACAACCGACCAAAAAAAAAACCAAAAAAGCCAAAATTGAACTCCTGCTTCAAGTGGAGAACACTAGCCTTGAGCACAAAAGCTCAAGGATAGCGCCTAGGCCCTGAGTTCAAGCTCCAGAACTGGCACTGGTGCAGGCATGCATACATGTGTACACACATGCATACACACACACACACACACACACACACGCGCGCGCGCGCGCACACACACACACCTGCTTCAACAGCCAGTTGGCTTGAGTCCAAATTCTGGTTTCTCTAAGACTAACCTCTCCTGGACCCAATTTCCTCAAATTAAGAATAGCAGTAGTAACTTTTGCCTGAGATTTCTGGGGGAATAAGTTTAATAGCCATAATGCCTTAAAACAGTACTTATCATCATGGTAAACATTACTATATTTGTATAAAAACAACAACAAAGAGATGATCTGGCTATGTATTCCAGATGTATCTGACCTCAAACTTATGTTCTTCCTGCCTCAGTACTAGGATTATAGGTGTGTACAACAATGACCTGCTACTATATGGGCTCTTATTCCAGTTTCTTCTAGTATGGCAACTCAAGAATTGCTAAGATTTGACTGTGCATTCAGGGCTTACAGCAGTGTTTGCACTAAGCACAAGATTCAAGCAAGATTTCACTGAACCTGTAAATCTTTAGCAAGATAGATAATGTTACCATCATTTTATAGAGAGGAACCTCAAGGATTAATAAGCAAGAGTATCTTCCCAGAGCCACACTGTTACTAAATGGCAGAGGTAGGAACTGAACTACAATCTATCTGTCAGATTCCAATGTGTGGTCTTCTCATTA